CGTAGTTCGCTGTATTTTTGTTTCATAATTTCCAGTTTAGACCAATAATGGGAAAATTAACCGTGAGGAGGCGAATCAAGAAGAAAACGTTTATAATAATATGAAAAATGCATGGGTCCATGTACCCGGCAGAACAATAGGTTTTTCATTTACGATTCACTGTTGCATTCGAATCAACAGTGATGCTCCTCTGGTGGCGTATGGAAAAATTAACCGAGAGGAGGCGAATCAAGAAGAAAACGTTCATAATAATATGAAAAATGCATGGTCCATGTACCCGGCAGAACAATAGGTTTTTCATTTACGATTCACCGTTGCATTCAAATCAATAGTGATGCTCCTCAGGTGGCGTATGGAGTCAAGTCACAAAGCCTACACAGAACGCACATGGACTGAGGACCTCTCGTACTGAATAAATGTATCTATACCTAATTTAAAAACGTCTTAGGATTTTTCAAAATTGGGAAGTTCACACACTCACATTAGACTAGTACCTATTTTAGAACACAACGACGATTATTAGATGTAGGTAGATTATTCACTGATGAGGATTTTCTAGTTTTCAGCATGAATGGCATCAAACTCGAATGAATTCGCCCACGCATATATCTTTCATATAATATCTAGGTTAGTATTTTGGTTCGATATTAAAAATTGTCCTTGCGCATCAGAACGCGATTTTTTTGCTGGCAACATCGCTTTCTGCAGCAGAGAGTGACTCGGAAAAATAGAACATCTCTTTTCGAAAGAAATTATATCGGGATTATCGCGTGGGCTTCGTTTTTTGTCACATTTTGGATTTTCGGCTTATTGTCCTGCCGCCTCCTGATGTTCGTAGTTTGATACGGCATCGTATCGATGTGCGCTGTAAAGGTGCGCCTGAATTCATTGAGATTCCCGTAGTCGATACTTTGCCTTTTGCGTTAGTGTTAGTGACGTTAGTGTATAAACGAATGATTTTTGTATTTCCACGATTTTCACGGTAGCTGCTAGTATTTTTATTGTGTCTTTTGCCGGACAGTGAAAATTGTGTTTGATTTTCCGGTGAGTAATACAATTCCTGGAGTTTTTGTTGTCCCAGAATTCAGATGAACTTGAACTGCAGATAATGTCAAGTCTTGAACTTCCTTATTTTCAATTCATAAGTAAACATTTTGGCACCTTACGTGACTATTTTTGAAACGTGTGGAAAGATAAAATAGTTCCATCATTCAATTCTATTTTCATTTGATACATTTATATGCTAATCAAATTAAAATGTCACGTCTATTTTACCTGGTCAACTTCGATTTTTATTATTCCTAATAAAAAAGTCCCAATCAATTATTATGTAGGTACACTTATCAAATTAAACTCCTTATGAGACTCCTTTTGTAGGATTCGATTTTATGTATGTCAGGGCCTCCTTATTTAGGTCAGGCAAATCCTCAAGACTGTCAAAATGTCAAGCTCGAATGCTGTGCTCTCTATGGAGCTTTTCAGTCTCTATGGAGCTTTCGCCCAAAGTGTGTCTGTGAGTGGCGGTAGTATCCCATTTATCCATCACCTGTGGTGTGAACACTTCAAAGAATAACTTTATCCACAGCAAAAACACGCTCTGAAAACCATCTTCTCGTTTGTTGGTTTAATAAAGACCTGCTAGGTGAGGTTTGAATATTCAGTGATGTTTCGTAATTCATTATACATTGGGCTAGGGATAGAGCCAAGATATTGGTTGAGTTCAAGATAGCTTGTATATGGTTAAGTTTTTGTTTTCATGAAATTGGTAATATTTTTATAAGAATTGTAGAAAAGTAATTATTGATGATGTTAGTGCAATCAGTTGAAAAGGGAGCGGGTCGTCAGGAACAGTTTGTTCTGAATTGATCGTGCATGACTTGACTTTTTGGACTATTGTTTAGGGAATCAATAATGAATGTATTTTGCCTGATATGTTGTTCCTTTATAATCCCTGCTATCTAGAAAATGTTATCTCTCAGAAGGGAGACCCTTTGTTGGCAGCATGCTGTAGCATATAAATCCAGTTTATATCTTCCATGACTTCATGTTTCAAATTGAACTTCATACCTCAATGAACATAGAATTGCGATATCTTTCCCCCATCAATACCAAGAAATGGGAAAATATAGTCTTCACGAGTTTTTAAATTTCTCGCAGTAAACTGTTTTCGAAAATACCTACAACAGAGTTCGAAAACAAAGGTATAGCCTTTCAAATATTGCTTCAGGTTCTTCTGCAGATTTTGATGATAATGAATGAAGTAAATTTTCAAATTAGCTTAAAATATTTGTTGTTTCAAGATGCTCGATATCCGAATCGGAACAATTATTCAGTAGGGCCTCCCAGTGGTTTCCTGTAATTATTTGTTAGTCTCAAACAATCACAAAATCGTAATTGAATAAGTAGGTATAGATGCAGAGATATGTATTAAGGACCGGCTCGCTCCAAAGTTTAAGGAATATTACTTTAAAAGTCTGGAATTGGAATTTGATTCGAATCAAAATTACATTATTTCTCGTAGGCAAACATCTCGTCTTGTTGAAAGCTAACAGCCGCTCTTAGATGAGATGTTTCTTGACGCGGAAGATCAATCTCAGTTTCAGTGAAACTGTTTAGGCTTTATTGGCGACATGGTAATTTCAAGAGAAGCTGTTGTTTTTAATTTTCCCAGGTCATGATCAGGGCTTTCTTGGCAGGATTTCTTAGAGTATTTCTTCTTTGCGTTGAAGTGGGCAATGTTTTTTCCTCGATTTTTGGATGTTTTCCAAGTCAGTAGTTATTGATTTAATCTAATGTAATCGAAGGTTATTGCTGCATTGGAACGAAATTGAGGTGATGTCGTCACATGTCGTCAGCAGAGCTCAAGACTGGGTTAACTTCCATTGACATCTGTCAAGCATTACCCTCACCCCCTTCCAATTCACAGTTTTTTCCACCATCTTCAATACATTTAGAGAAAAGTATTTTGTATACCAATTTTTTTTCGAAAAATGTTTTTGGTACTTACGTATTTTTGTCTGAAAGATACGAATTTGATCATGAAAATGTGAACAAACCACTATTCATCGAGATATTTCAAGAAGTTCGAAATATCGCCTTATTTTTCCCCGTGTGTTGGATACATTTATAGCTACTTGCTCTTCATTTTTTGACATTGGACACTTTATATACTCATGATGTACTTCAATGACACATTTTTATTCAGAAATATGATTTTTATGGTGAGTTTTTCATATTTAGTGAACAATCATACCAGATGACGGCCATTTTATCCATAGTCAATCCAAATACGGGATGTCAACAGATTGCTCTTGAATGACATTACACACGCCATTATTTCAAATGATATTATTCCTTCTTCTCACTGAATATGGATAAATCGCAAGAAAATCAAATTTCTAGTTGACTCATATAATAGAAAAAATATGTCATTGAAGTACATTGTGATATATAAATTGTCCAATGATGAAAAAAGAAGGACAAATTGTTCTAAATGCTATCCAAAAGGCTGGCGGAAAAGAAGGGGAAATTTGTAATATTATAGTGGAATGACTTAATAAATAATAGTTTGTTCATATTTTCATTATCAAATTCGTGTTTTTCAGAAAAAAATACGTTAGTACCAAAAAACATTTTCAAAAAAAACCCATCGCATGATAAGTGCAGTTTTACCCAATTTCCAAATAATTCGACCACCCAACTGAAAAATTGCTGAAAAACTTGCAAATTACCATTTCAATTTCTACTTTAGGTATGCAGGCTCCATATTATGCAGCATTCTGAACATTTCTAACAAAAAACGTTCTCCTATTTTTGGAAGAATATCACAATTTTCATAATGATAAGTCACTATGCCGAAGATGGTTGGGTGAAAAAAGAGAAAACACACACTAATTATTTTCTAGATATATTTTTTCGATAGTCTTGGAAAAATTGTGGTACAGTATTTGACCTTGAACCTGAAAAACATTCCGCCTACGGAGCAGTTTTATTTGTCTTGTAACTTGTAGCCATATTAAGAAATGATGCACGTGTGGGAACGCAAAAAAATATTCTGCATGAGAGAGACAACTATACTTTCGGCTGGCCATGGAAGACATCCAGTCTTCTTCAAAACCTTGTGCCATAGCTAATCAAATATCCATTGTTTTCTGATATTGGCTAATTTTCTATCAGTGCATGACAAATTCTGTTGATCTCGAATGTCTAAATTGTTCTAAATTTGTTCTTATCCATCATTCGGTTGCCCCCTTTTGAGCAACCCTCAGAAGTCGTCCAGCTTTTAACGTGTGATCCCAAACTTTTTCTTAGGCCATCAGAACAATTTCTGCGGTCGTGGTGAGAATCGAACTCACCTACCGGCAATCCAACTTGGATAGAATATTGACGCTTCAACCACGAGGCTACGCTGGCCACAAATACAATATCTAAATCGATATATTGCCGATCTTGAATAACATGTATTATCTATTTGTGTATATGTGATTTTTTTATTTAAAATTACAAGCAGAATCTCGGATAGGACGGAATTTCATTGAAATAAATTGAAAGAGATTCATCACCATCATCATTCGACTTGGAAAAATAAGAAACTTATATTAATTGATAATTCTCAAAGAAGTAACGCCGTGTAAATTATTTTTCATTTGAACGAAAATTCTATGCAGCCTCAAATATTTGGTTACATTAGAACCCTCTGTATATTTTGATAGTCACACCATAGATTAATTAATCTATGGTCACACGAACACAAAAATCAGCCTCTCTTGTGCTGAATTTGCGAGAAATCTAGAGGAAGTGCAACCCACCAGATCTGTGAAAAATGCTAACGCCAGATTTATCGCTATCTTTCATGACCTCTAGTTTGTCATGTTTGTGTATACTTGATAAATTCCATTTATCTAAACCGTATCAAACAAATATTATCTTATGTCTAATATTAACGTATTAAAAAAATTACGTTTTTTCAGTTCATTCACGAAATTCCATTCATTTTGCAGGTAGAAGACAAAATTCAAGATGGCGTTTGCAGGGTTAAAGAAACAAATCAACAAAGCTAATCAGGTGAGCAAAAAAACAAAATACTTACTATCCTCACTTAATTAATGATGACTGATTGTTCGAAAAATAGTCGTTTTCATTGAGATGTTCCTCTTTTGATATTATGGTATATGAAATGAAAATAATAGGAAAATGAACATTAGAGGACATTCACTAATAATTATTAGAATAATGTTGGTATATATGGATTTCTGCTCAGCTTCAAAACATTGATGATTGCTGTCCATTGCAAGATTCTTTCATTCCAAAAGTAACAATGCAACTTTCTGCTGTCAATCTTTTTTACCTCTGCTACCATGTTAAAACTTTCATATGGGGGGGGGGGGGATGAAACTTTTGGTAGGGGAATTTTTCGAGTGAAATGTCTTGAACGTTTTTGATGATAAAGATCTGGAACAATATCGAGATCACAAGCAAAGATAGGTAAAATTGGTTTTAAAAAGTAATCCACTCGCCTATTTTAGTTTTGAAGCACAATTGACAATAAATTCTAGTTGATCGTTTTCCATGTCTACCCAATCGTATTGAGAAAAGTAATGTATACATGCATTGAATGGGCATAATTATAAAACTGCATCTCAGAGAATATAAAAAAAAGCAATACCTATGTATCATTACTAGAATGTTCGACGATTACCATTTTTTGCAAATAGGTTTGTTGATTTTTCCGACTTCTGGTCATCATTTTAATGAGGAGTCATCCATGAACTTTATAATATATACATATCTTCGGAAGTAGTCCATACTCAAAGTGGAGTGGAATGATCAAGAAAGAAAACTCGAAGTCGTCTCCACAATTTTAATGTTGAAAGATGCAGTCAATCCTGCTTCAATAAGGTTTGATACATGTTTCGGCCATTCAAATGGCCATCTCCAGTCAAATTAACATCAAAGTGTATCTACAATAGGAAAACCCAAACATGATTTTATATCATGAAGAAATTGAAAAAGAAAATCAAAAGTTGTAAATGCAGAATTGAATTAGTCAACAAATTTCAGTATTATAAAAAAACAATGGTGATTATTATAAAGTATAACAATATTAATTGATCAGTAATTGATGAGTGAAAAGTGAAAAAGCAAAATTTTCATCGAATCACAAATTATGATAACAAAATGGCGAACCAAAGGTAAGAAGGTTGTACTCACGTGGAAAATTTCAAAACATCGGGAAAGCGAAGAAACTTCTTCTTAAAACATAATTAATTAATTAATTTGAAAAATGGTGCTTAAGTTAGTTAATTTTGAAAGGAAGGCAAGAAGCCAATCCCTCAAAAGGAACATTAAATTCGTCGTCTTCGGCTACCTATGACGAATGGGATGTTTTGAAATTTTCCACGTGAGTACAACCTTCTTACCTTTGGTTCACCATTTTGTTATCAGAATTTGTGATTTAATAAAAATTTTGCCATTTCAATTTTCACTCATCAATTACTTATCAATTAATATTGTTAAACTTTATAATAATCACCATTGTTCTTTTATACTACTGAAATTTGTCAACTAATTCAATTCTGCATTTACAACTTTTGATTTTCTTTTTCAATTTCTTCATGATATAAAATTATGTTTGGGTTTTTCTATTGTAGACACACTTTAATGTTAATTTGACTGAAGATGGTCATTTGAATGGCCGAAACATGTATCAAACCTTATTGAAGCAGGGTTGACTGCATCTTTCAACATTAAAATTGTGGAGACGACTTCAAGTTTTCTTTCTTGATATATACATATATAATATATATGTATGTACACAGTCCCACGACGATGAAGACAGGAAATATCTCGGAACTCGAGTGTTGTATAGAAAATTGTAATTTTGGTGTTGTGAATTCAAGCTACTGGTGCAGCTTTCTCTGAATTTTTTCCCAATGAGCTTTTTGTTTTCGGCCACCTGACATCAGATTCTCCTGATAATACGATTCCAACAAACTATCACACGTGGTGGTCTAATGCGATTAATGTAAGAACTACAGGTACAGGTACCACGAATCTTTTCATTTGTACTTACATATTTAGTAAGATATTTCAGAAGTATGTAAATACTTGATGGGTATTTAAATGTGAATACAAATAATGCCCAGCTGTGAGTAATATTGGTATCACTCAAAATCGACATCCTGTATACAGAGTGAGTCGAAAATGCGTATCGAGTCTTCTGGGGGTGCTAGCACGATTATAAAATCAGTATAGTCTGATAGATGAACTTATTATGACTCAAAATGCATATTAAGGTAGATAATTATATCCTTCCATCGGTAACAAAGAGTCCATGCCCAATTTTGTTCTCAATTTTGACGTATATTTGATATCAAAATTGTTATTGTTAATTTCCTTGTTTGTTTGTTTGTTTTTTTGCTTAGTAATATTAGTACGCGTTCCAAATTCGTGAATAACTTCGAGGATTCTGTGAAGATTGCGTAGAAAATAATGTCTCTCCAAACGAAAAATAGAGATGGTTTTCGTCAAGAAGTTCGTGGCCTCCTAAAATATTGTTACTGATGGATTTATCTGCTGATTATGAAAGTGCTCAGTGGACATAACAATTTTTTTAATACTTGCAAGTTTTATCTGTCAATTAAGCTAAACGTAAGATCGATCTGGCAATTAGAACACCCCAGAAAAGTCGGCAACGTTTCACTTTTCTATAGATATTTCCTCGGGAAATGTTCCTCAGAAATCTCTACTCTAATTCCATTACTAGCAAGACCAGTCAGACGAACTCGATAGGCCCAGTCAGCAAATCCGTTCGTTAACCTTTAGATATGTCGAACAACACTGTACCAAACCTCGTTCGTCTATAGAACGGCAAAGCTTTGGAATCCTTTGCCAATGGAAGTATTCCTAAAAACTTATGACCTCCAAAAGTTAACAAAAAACAACACATACTTCCCCTCCCTATCCTCCCTCGGTACGCACGATGATCTTCGAACATTATAGGAATTTCTTTTCGTGCGCTCCAAGAGATAACGAAAATTCTCAAGATCGATGTTGCAATTGAGCTTACCTAATTACCAGATCGATTTGTGATTTTTCCCGAATTTTTCCTCTTCAATTGCAGTAGGTAAAATAGATAAATATAACTTTGTCTGCTTTGCCACGATATTTTCATTTGACCACAATGCCTGATCAATTTTTCATGATACACGGAAACAACGTGCTCACGAATAAAATAGGATAGGTATATACCAACCACTGAAGTACGGAAAAATATTTCGAATCATAATTGGAACTCTAATTAAAATTGGAATACAAACAAAAATGATTTTTCGTGTTCAAGAAATCAAATAAACGTGGCGTATTCTTGATCACGTTTCACTTGTTTCAGCTTCCGTTCAACACACGTAATAATTACCTAGTCGTTATCTCGCTGACATTGCTTTTTTTAATCGTGAGATTTTTCTCTGGTTTTAATTTTTCTAGGGTGATTCGAAAAACACCGGTAAATGTCATTGGCTGGTTAATTCCAAGACAAAATTCAAGTACATGAATCATGAAATATTGATGCATTGCTTCCTTTTCATTCAATCTATCAGAATTAATTTCACATCATTGGTGTTTACAAATTTTCTGTATTTATTTAGTGGTAAACTATATATATTTTTCAAACTTGTATCATTGGCATAAATTTCGGTATTTTGCATTTCTTGTTTGTTTGGTGAATCGAAAAATCGGAAATATAAAAATTTGCCATTGAAAAAGTAACACCCTATATGCGATTTTGCGTTCAAATTTTGTATGGGGGTATTTAAGCTATGTCTGAATCGAATAGGCTTTTCACTGTTTCGACAAAAAATTGACAAATAGTCGTTTTTGAAATGTTGACCCTTTCAACAATCAAAAGTATGCCTTGGAAATGTGAATATTTCAGATTTGTCCACATTTTCGATTAGAGCTCGTTGAGTACTATATTATGAAATTTTTGTTTTTGAAAATCGGTAGACGGGTTCCAAATTAGGAGGGTGTTGCCGGTTGAAATCGCACACACGGTATATAACGTCGTTGACTAGGTATGAGACGGTAAAAGTATATTCTGTTGGTGATATTGATGGATCAGAACCACTACCAACCAACCAAGTTATTCCAGAAACACGAAAGAGGTGTTTTTTGCTCAAAAGACTCGAAAACCAGTTTTTACAGTGAAAAGTGTGAAAAAAATAATGTCTCTCTCACCCCAAAGCTTGGTGCCCAGCTAGCCTCAATTCACTGAAAAATCAGTGAATGATTAAGTTTCATTATATTTTTATCGATTTCAACTTATATGTGACATTTTTGAACTTTTTCAATTCATTTTTGTGGTAGTGAAGTTCATCAATATTAGTATATTACACAAATTACCCTTTCTTTTTCATCGAATTCGATAATGATTATGAGTTATACGTTCAGTTGCATAATAAAAAGTATATTAGGAACCATCTCTCATCTTCATTTAGTAGCAGAAATATTTGGAATTTTTATTTTCTCTAAGAAAAGTTCGTGAGACCTGGCGCCACCTCTCGTGCCAACAAATAAGGTGCCACCTTCTTAGGAAAAAGAAAATGAGAAAATATCGTTGTTCAGTTAACCAATAAGCACTTGACAATTTGATTATCATTAATGGAGATTTTGAATGTCATTGAATTCGAATTTTATGTTATTTCTATCGTTACGTCATTTTGCTACTAAGTAAGTATGTGTTGAAGCCGTAGAAAAAGTGTAGTGTAAAACTCGCACGAAATGTTGTTTCCTTATTCGTACGATTAGCATAATTCGTCTACGGCTCATGCTGCAAACTTCATACTCGCGGGAAATGACTATAATTCCGAGCTCGTTGAACAATATACTATTTTCTACGGCTATAACACAAGATTACTCTAGTTTTACTGTGTTCGATACATCAATGAGGTACTTTGTATGTCATCAATTTTATTTCCGTATCTGATATCACAATGACTCCATTGTGTTTTTATTTCAAAAAAAAAACTCATTGCCCATGGAATGTCAAATTTCAAGCAATGACAGCA